TTAAAAGATAGTTTTGCTGGATACATCAGTCTAGGTTGGACGCTATTTTCTTTTAGGACTTGAAATGCCTCACTCCAAGCTCTCCTTGACTTGAGGGTTTGTGCTGAAAAGTCTGCTGTGATTCTGATGGGCTTTCCTTTGCATATAATTTGCTTCTTTTCTCTAACTGCTTGTATTTTATTCTTCGGTTGAGTTTCCAGGTTCTTGATTATTATATGTCTAGGTGTAGTTTGTTTTTTTTTTTTTTTTTGATCATAGCTATTTGGAGTCCTATATGCCTCACTTTTCTCTATGTCAAATTCTGTTTGGGAAGTTTTCTGTCATTAGTTCTGTGAGCACGTTTTTTTTTTTATGTCATTTGTACTTTCTCTTGCTACTTTATGGATTCTTATCAGTGTTATATTATTCTTCTTTGCATAATCTAAGAGTCATTGGATTTATTTCTCATGGTCTCTTACTGTTTTTAAGAGATCTCTCTTTTCATGGTCACTGACTGCAACCCTATCTTCTATGTCTGGAATTTTATCTTCACAATTGTTCAGTCCACTGTGAATGCTTTCTATAGAGTTTTTAATCTCCTGGATATCTGTTTGAATCTGTTTTGCGGATTCCACTTTTTTCCTATGTTGGGCATTTCCATTTCTTTCCTATGCTGGGCATTCATGGTTTCCACCATGGTCCTGAGCCCATCTATTTTTTATCAGTTTTTGTTCTAGAGTCTCTATTTATGTCTTTCATTATTCTCACTATGTCTGTGGTTATCTAGGAAATTATTTCTGTTTTGAGTTTTTCTAGAGCCTCATTTATCTGTTTTTTTACTTTCTGTGCTATTGGCTCAGGGTGTCCAGATGGTTGATTATCAGACTTCTCCACCTCATTTCCTTCAGAGTTTACCTTTGGTGAGGTGGAAATGTGTGTTTATGCCCGTTTAAATGTCTTTTCATTTCTATTTTTGTTGTTGCTACTGTCCTTGTTTTAATTTCTGGGTTAATACTTCAATCTTCCAGATTATAGCTGGTCTTTAGGTTTTGAGTCTCTAATGAATCTGAGGCAATCTTATTTTCAATATTCCAGGAAGGACAACTGATTAGATCAATCACAACACTTTAGCTCAAGTGATAGAATCAGTAACACAATAGCATCAAGCACAGGTTAGAAAATGACAATTTGTGGTAGGTAGTAATCTATCACCTTTAACTGTGCAAATTAAATAAAAATAGAGGACCAACCCAAATGTGTTTATTTTTAATAAACTCTTCAATATAGCAACATTACCTTTTCAGTTGAGGACTTAGAAGGACTGGGGAGGGATGGATAAACAGATGGACAGGATAGAGAAAGGTTAGAATTGAGGTCATAAAACACAGGAAGATCACACAAACTCTAGGAAGCTGTTGAAGAGAGGAGTAGAAGAAAGAACAAAATATACCTAAGAACAGAACAAATTAACAGCAATAGAGAGGCTAGAAATCATAGCTAGAAATCTTTTAAAACTAATGGCAATTAAAAGAAGGAAAATAGAATAAAAGAAAGAGGATGTAGATTCTAATTAAGATAGGAACAGGAGCTGGACATGGTGGCACACACCTGTAATCCCAGCACTTGGGAGGCTGAGACAGGTGGATTGCTGTCAATTCGAGACCATCCTGAGCTGCATAGAGAGTTCCAGGTCAGTTTCAGCTACATAGTGAGACCCTGTCTCAAAAAAAAAAAAAAAAAAAAGAGGTAGGAACAGGAACAAAATGGGAGAGAAATGAAGAGCAAAGTGGGAGAAAGAAAGTGAGAGAAAAAAAGATGAGAAGAAAAAAAGAAAATAATTTGAGAAAAGAAAAACATAGATAATTTTTTTAAATGTTTAATATTACTTTGAAAATAAAAAATAGAATAGAAATAGAGGGCCTCCTTCAGGGTGTGCCTCTGTTGACAAAATAGATAGTCCTGGCAGGAGGGTACAGGTCTAAGTTAATTAGCCTCAGCAAGCCCTCAGCTGTTCCCTGAAGTTCAGGCTGATTTTTGGCTGCAAAGCCCAAGTTGAGATCTCTGACCTCCTGCTGGGTTGAACTCTGCAATGTTCTACTGGGGTTATAGCTGTCTTTGCCCTGAAGTTATACCAGGCTCCGATGTGAGGTGCTGGTCCCTCAGACTTACCAACTGTGGTGGTATAGTGTGCCTTTATCGGAGAGATTTTCTTCAATTTTCATCTAGGAGCCTCAGAGAGCCCTTCTTTCTCTTGTTTGTGGGTTGGGAGAGGGCACAGACACCACTGTGTTGGCCCCTGCATGGTTGGACTCCTCTGCTGAGCTGGGCTGAAGGGGCAGGCCTACCAGAGGGCTTGCACTGCTTCTGTGCTCCTCTGTTGCTCCGTGCTGAAGAGGCTGGCCCACTAGAGGCTATCGTGCATTTTTTAAGTGACCATTTTTTTTGGTGGGGTTCTTAAAAATGAGAGGACTGTTTTTATTCCTATGGTTCTAGGACTAGAAGAGCAGGAATAAAGGTCAAAAGAATGAGAGCCCCAAACCTTTTTGCCAGAATCTATCATACTCAGACTTATTAGGCAGCTACTTGTCTTCCTGATCATTTTTAATCCACACTAAAATTCCTGTATGGTCTGTGGAACTTCTGAAGAAGTTGGAATGTTTATAACTATGGTTGTCAACCCTTATAGTGCATCAGAATTACCCAGGAGCTTTTACAAAATACAAAATATGACCTCAAGGAATTTCTGATTTACTTGGTTTGTACTGGGGCTCATATTAAGAGTTTTTAAAAGAGATTAGGTAGCTTTAATATGCAACAAAGGTTGGGAATCTTTTCATTCATATAGATAGATAGATAGATAGATGGATAGATAGATAGATAGATAGATAGATAGATAGATAGATATTTCCAGCTTTGTTTAAATGGCCCAGGAGCAAGAATTTTGGGGTGTATTGAAAGGGCAAAACACCATACTTTATACATATAGGTATATAAATACTATACAAATAGTTTGAGTCTACTGTCTTTTGCACATGAGATTTCTAAATCTCAGCAAGCACATAAGTTATTATTTAAGAATGGTTTCATTGTGAACCTGTATACTTGCATAAATAATTATAAAACATTGTAATAAAATCATAAGAAACTGTCCTCTTCCAAGTGAACTTCTAAATCATATTTCATTATTAGTAATTGTATTAATTCATTGACCAGCAACTGTTGTCTTAGCAGTTCACAGCCTAGATAAGTAGTCAGGTTCCAATTGTAGTATGCTTATTTAATTTATTAAAGTCTTCTTTTCATTCCTGCTTTATATTTGTCTTATGAGACTAGTAATATTAAAATAGCTTGAATGTGAAATTGTAAAATATTTTGGAAGCTCAAAGTGGAAAAAAAAAACAAAAAATGACTTAAGCATTTGCTTTTCTAGAGCACCAGGAAATACTTTACTACATATAAACTGTCACAAGGTCTGATCCAGACAGATGTCTCTTTTAAACACCTGTTGGAGTCTACGCTGCAATGGGCCCTTTAAGTTGAATGGAGTTTTAATTTTCCAAAAGCAGTCTGCAAGCAAGTTGGAATGTCAGAAATGCACATTTGCTGCTTATATTCCAGTGTAGCAAACCAGTTCCTGAATTGCTATGTTGATCCCTTGATTTTGTAGTTAATGAGAGAAGTCTACAAATACCACTAAGATTGACTAGCTTTGTTTATAGAGGTTTATGAGAGAGTTGATTTCACATATTAAACCAACAAAGAAACACATTCTTTTTACCTCTTGGGAATCTGTTAGTGATTGACTTGTTAAAAAGTGAGAAGTGTGGTTATAAATTGAAGAAGGATGAAACCTCACCTTGGTTTTCATTGGTCCCAAGTAAAGTCTAAATTTGTATTTGACTAGAATGAAATAGCTAAAATGTCATATAGCTTAGCACCAAACATGACTATGGCTGATTCTATTCCAAAACGGACATATGTAGGCTGTGTTAGTAACATTACATGATGATTACATTCATCACTTCTATGTATAGCATAGTACTGAATCAAACATTGTCAGGCTGAAGGTCATGTGCTATGCATAGCTGTTCAGATACTTTACATTTGAGGCAGCTGAATTACTCCCTGACCTGGCTTTAGAGAGGGAACAGATCATCTTCATCTTTATGCCTTCCTGCCCTTTCTAAAAATAGTAGGTAGGGCCTTTAACAAGGAGATATTTTAAGCTGTTCATATTCACTTGTCTCATCAAGAGAAGCTTATTTTGGCCACTTGCATGTGTCAAATTTGCATGTGTGCATAGACTTTTGGGATACTAGCCCATGCTTCTCAGCACTCATATAAGACACTGGCAAACTGGAAGGCACTGGGATTGCTAGCTGAGAGTATTGGCGACGATCCGTGGTAAACATAAACGAAAGGAAGACACTCTTTGGGAATGTGAATATGCTCCTGAAATCATCCATTTCAGACATTTGCACATCAGCCCTCAGCTTTTTGGATCTGTTTTCATAAAACCCGGCTGTGACTTTGCTGGAGACCTTTGTGATCGTGTCACTTTTAATAAATATTTATAAGAGGCACTGCCAGCCTGTGGGTAAGGGAAACTAATGAGAAACTGCTATCCAAAATCTGAACCACAAAAACAAAACCAAGCAAAACCAAAAACTCAAGAACAAAACCAAAAAAGAGCAACTCAAACAATCCGTGTTCATAAGAAGACTCGTAGAAAAATAACAAGATGTAACTTTGATTTGATAACTGGATTTATCAATCACTTGACTAGCATGCAGTGGGTACTTTGTATTCTTCTACTTTGAAAAACAATTGCGAATCTATGTTTTTCTGCACAACTGGGACCAAAAAAAATTATGAGTGTGAGAAAACAGAGACTGTAAAAGCAGGATGGAAATTAAACAGGTAAACCCTGTTCCACAGTCATGTCATTCCAGTGCAGATGTACGCGGCACTCGTGTTTGCACCTCTAAGAAATTTCCATTTTTTCGCATCAAAAAATTCAGATATGAAGCTGAAGCTGCTTTCTTCGCCAACCTGAAGCTGTCTGATTTCAACATCATTGACACCCTTGGAGTTGGAGGTTTTGGACGAGTAGAACTGGTAGGTGGATTGCTCTTTAAATGATTTTGAAAGCCCATGTCTTCCTTTTCATTTTTTTCTCTTGGTATAAGACTTCTTTCTTTTCTCTTTGTTCTCTTTTCATTACTTACTGTTGTTCCTAAATATTGACCACATGCCCTCATACAGGCATATCAGAGTTTACAACAAAGTGGACTGTGCTACATCAGTAGGCTGTAAATAACAAACATCAAATTACTTTTTAGAAAACCTTTTCATATAAAGTGAAAGGTAAACACATTATGTACCAGGGAAGCATAAAGAACCTTTTACCCAGATGATTGTCTGTGATCCATATTTACTTAGTTCTGAGAAGTGCCCACTAAATTATATACTTTATTTTGTTACAAAAATTTAAGTGTAAATTTTAGTACATATAGAGGAGTAGGAGATATAGATACAAAAATAAATGACACAGTAGTAGCTGCAATCCTGTAGTTATTGGAATCCAGATTGTAGTGACAATGGTTTGAATATTTTATATAGTTTATTTCACATATGCATTCTAAATATAGTAAAGTATTAAAGATGATGAGATTTTTATGTAAGTGCATACATAAAACACATTTCATGAATATAGTATAAACAAACATATCCTAATTTCCATTTGCTTTCAATAAAATTTTTAAAACTGATATATTGCTCCAAAAATCAGCCAAAGAAATATTCTGCTGAGTGAGTTAGCAGCATGGCAAGGCCCTGTAAATATAAACCCTATTTGAGAATGCCAGTTTATTCCCATCTCTCTGTGAATGCAGGAATCCCTGATATCAGACACCAGTACAGTGTGTGAGGAACTCCCTGAGCCTGTGTACAGTTCTGTAAACAGTTACTGTTGCCATCCCGAGTCAGGAGAAACACTTTCCATACAATACTATCACCCAAAGCTATTTCTGCTGTTAGTGTATTTGTGCTGCAATGGGGATTTTTGACTGTTATGAAGAAAAAAACTATTCACTTAAAAATTTAAAAGAAGACTTTAGCCATGCATGGTAGCAAATCCCAGCTACTCAGGGAGCTGAGGCAGGAAGTTGGAAAATTCAAGACCAGCTTGAGCAACTTAATGAGAATTGGTCTCAAAACTAAAAATTAAAATAAAATTAAAATGCCTGGGGATGTAACTCAACAGTAGAATGTTCCTGAGTTAAATCCCCACTATCGATCAATCAATCATTCAGAGGTTCTAGAACCATAAAATTTTACCTTAAACTTTCATTATATTTCCCTCAACAATGTTTGGAAGATACTATATTAAAGCTACTATTTTTGTCGTGACAGTCCATAATATGCCTCTTAGATTGTGAGTATTTTAAGTTGTGGGATTAAAAATCAAGTAAGGTTCTACAAAAACACTTGATTTCATGAATTATGCCATTTAATGCAACATCACATTTATTTTTTAATATTTTGGGATTTGTGATGAGTTGTAATTATTTGTACAGCTAAAAAAGACTTAACTGCCTTATATATGAACAGCTGTGTTTTTGAGATATTGGGACATAAAATCAAGAGAGAGGGTAAAGCTTTATATGTAGGAACTTACTTAGATTTTTGAAATATAGATGATATGGAAAATAACTTGTAATAAATGAAAACATTTCAAGATAAGAACAGTTAAGTGTCAGTTTGATTGTGTAAAACTTCTAGAAAAGTCTCTAAAATATATATGAGAGGAACAAACCATTAGCAACAAATTTCGGGTAAATTTAATCATATAAAATGTAATACAGTTTACCTAGATGCACAAAGGCCTTGAGTTCAGCCCCCAATACCACACCACAGGGTAATACAGTTTAAAAGGAAAAAATACATGGGTGTGTGGTAGTATCTCTCTGTCTCTCAACATATATAGAGAGAATATATATATCCTTCTCCACTCTAGGAAATACTAAACACTTCAGTCCACTTTTTGTATCAGGAATATTCTAATATTTTACACAGATGTTTAGAAGTGAATGAAAACCAAAACCCAAAGAATTAATATTGATTGAAAATATAGTCTATTTTACAAAAACTTCAGATAATATTGATGCATGATACGTCCTTTATGGGTCATTAGGTACCATGAGTCCTTTGAGGGGACAAAGTCCATAGCCTTAACTTCTGTACTCACATCTTGTATTGCCTTTCACGTTACAAAGCACAATGGATGATAAGTAGAGAATCCAGGTTATCTCGAGTACTTACTGTGGCCCAGCCACTTACGCGATCATCAGTGCTGTAACGTCCATTGCCCCCAGTTCTTGTCACTTACTATTTTCCTGATCATATTAATTGCTAGGTGTGAGAAATATTCTTCTCTATGAATTTTTGTTTTTTATTGATTTTATTTCTTAAATCTTTATTAAGTTTATCGGTACATTTTAGCTATACAGTACAGTTACATTCATCATTGAGATCTTGTACCTTTGCATGACTTATCTTGGTTCTTATCTTTCCCCATTCCCCAGCCTTCCCTTCACCCCCTCCACCCTTCCCTGTCCACAAAGACATTTACCTGTTTTTCCTTTTTCACATATTTTTTCTTTTCCCTTTTTATCTTTCCCCTGCCCCTTCCACCTCCTCTACTCTTTTAGACCTTGTTTTCCTCTTATACAATATCAGCTATACATTTCGATCTTTATTTACACTTTTTTTTCAGAAGAGAGAAACTATTTGGTATTTTCACTTGTGTGACTTATTATTCAATTCATTCATTAATTTATTCAGTGGTGCTAAATTTGAGAGACTGACCTCCACACTTGACTGCAATTATATGTACAGTTGTCACCAAAGTATGATAACAGCACATCTTCGCAGTGGAACTGATGCCGTTCATGGTCAGGAAGCAGATATAGACAGAGCCACGTTCTGTTGTGATTATAGAAATTTTCACTCATCTATGCGAATGAGACATACAAAACAATTTTACCGATATTACAAGATGCTATTTTTAAGCAACACAATTTTGATATACACTCATTTCACATGTGTACATAGTGATGGACATGTTAGTATGAAGTGTGCAATACTTATACTTTGGATGTACAAATCCTTACCTTAGCAAAAGAAGTGGTCTGGTGAATAACATTACAAAATAATAGAAGTTATACTTTATAATAGTTTTTAAAATTGTTTAATCAGTTATGAAATATAAAATTATAAATTCTCTAATGGGGTATTAAGGGTATAGAAATGTGAAATTATGAACTCCTATTTTCTGTTAGTATTAAAAATGTAGTTTTTCATTACTGTGTGACATGCAGATTATGTTTCTCTGATTTTGCACGATGATATATCCTTCACAGAGTTCCTAGCATTACTTAGTTTTTATTATTTGGCAATATAGGTAAATTTTGTACAAAAACATTTTTTTCAGGTAGGAAAATTTTTAAATAATTTATTTTCAATTTTTTAAGATAAGAACATAAGAAGAAATACATATTCATTCAGTGATGAGACCAGAAGCTTATAGTAAAAGTCTTACGTGAGTGCAAATTCTACTTTTAAGCTCTCTGGTCTATTTCATAGAGACTTTTGGCATAACTGATCTTAACTAATTTAATATCAAATATGTCCCATTCACAGCCATTACCTTTGAGCAGTCATTTGTACTGCTGTTCTTTTTGCTTTTTGGCTTGCAACATATTTTCTGCCCCTGTTTTTTATTTCTAAGAATGGACTTAAATGTAACGAATTTATAGAATATGTACCAGAAAGCCATATTCTAATACTACTTGCACGAAAACAAACAAAAGCCCAAGTTTCTTTCTCTCTCTGTCTCTCTCTCTGATTTACTCAGTGATGCACTAACCCAGGTAATCCTCTTAATTTACAAAGGATGATTGCAAAATAAGAAGATTAGTTTTACAAATCATAAGTGAAAATGAGTCCCACTGCTTTATGGTCAAATTTTTAAATTACCTTTGTTCCTGCCAGAGAAACGCCTGCTTTCCAAATACAGTTGTACAGATAAAAAAAAAAAAAAAAAAAAAAAAAAAAAAAAAAAAAAAAAAAT